AATACCTAATTAGAACAATGCTATATATAAATCTAATATATATCCTCTAAAACACACTTTTGAGACATGAAAAACGCAATTTGAATTTTGTCAATCGGCCGAGTAGAACGAGAGATATAGTACTGTCCCCCTTTTTGTTTCTGCTGCGCAAGTGTACATGTAATATACAGTGGGTACAAAAATTATTTGCACACATATATTTTAGTTCATAATTTATAAGAAAATGCATTAAGAAATACAAAAATTGGCATTTAAAAAATAGAATAAGCTTATTCATTTAAATTAATTACAAAAAATACAATAATATTAATAAAAAACATTTTTTACAACAATATTAAAATAGCTTATGTCAAAAAAGTATTTGCACACTCAACTCAACTTTAGCAAATTTGCATTTTTATGCTATTATTTGACAGTCATCCCGCAGTAAATAACGTACGTAAGACGACTATAAAAGGAGGTGTTGTCGAAACGTTATCAGTTGATTGTCGATTTCAAATTGTAATGGCACCTAAGAAATCTGAATTGCCGATTTCGTTGCGAGAAAAAATTGTTTCTCTACGTGAAAATGGCCTAAGTTATCGAGAAATAGGTAAAAAAAGTAAATGTTTGCTTCTCTACTGTTCGGTATATTATAAAACGTTATAAAGAAAGAGGATCTACATCAAATAACTTGCGCTCTGGACGCCCAAAGAAACTTTCACTGCGAATGAAGCGAAAATTCATAAGAGAAGCATCAAAAAGTCCATTTGTTAGTGCAATTACTTTAGCCAATGATGTCGCTTCAACATCTGGAGTTCAAACCTGTGCCCAAAGTGTTCGAAATGTCCTGCATGAAGCACACATTTATGGGAGATCACCAAGGAAAAAAAACCTCTCATAACTGAACGAAATAGTCTGAAGAGACTTGAATTCGCTAAGGAATATAACAATAAGCCAATTCATTTCTGGAAAAATGTCATATTCTCCGACGAGAGTAAGTTCAATATCTTTAAATCAGATGGCAGGAAAAAATTAGTTTGGAGAAAAAAAAAAAACCTTGTACTGCTTTTCATACCCAAAAATGTGTTACCTACAGTTAAACATGGAGGAGGTTATGTTATGATTTGGGGGTGCATGGCTAGCAAAGGAGTTGGTAATTTGTGTTTATTGATGGGAATATGATAGCTCGAACCTATATTGATGTGTTGCGAGATAACTTGCCACAAAGTGCAATAAAATTGGTATCAGTAATTCGTACTATTTTCAGCAAGACAATGATCCCAAGAACACTGCCGGTATAACACGTATGTGGTTGCTTTATAATGTACCCAGAAAACTTGCCACTTCCACCACAATCACCAGACTTAAATCCTTTGGAAAATTTGTGGAATTCTTTGGATTTAAAAATAAGAAAAAGGAAGATTTCAAGCAAATCTGCTCTTAAACAAGCCCTTATTGAAGAGTGGTCGAATACTGACCCTACTGTTACAGAAAATTTAATTAAATCAATGCCAGCAAGATTACAAGCAGTAGTAATAGATGCTAAAGGAATGCATACTAAATATTAGTTATTTGAAATTTGCTTATATATTTTATTTATTTTGTACTCGTGCAGGTGTGCAAATACTTTTTTGATACGAGATATTTTAATTTTGTTACAAAAAAGCATTGTTATTTATATTATTGTAATTTTTCTGTTTGTTTTGGATGACAAAACTTATTCTGATTTGGCAATACCAATTTTTTTATTTCTTAATGCTTCTTTTATGAATTGCAAACAAAAATGTAGGTTTGCAAATACATTTTTTACCCACAGTAACTAACTCTCTTCTACCAGAGTAGGGACAATTTTGATCACATTATGTACAAGGGCAGATCCAAAAATAGCTAGCCTGATATATTTCTTTTAAACGCTGATAAATTTTAGTAGTTTATTCTTGAGAATGATCTCTTTCTACCTCAAATGCTTGATGAGCAACTCTACATCCTTGAAAACGTAACCTGAAGGTTTGATCTCAAAATGTTCCGTAAATGCTCTTTTCATGCCATTATCACCATTATTAAATCCTTTCCCCACAAGGTCAGATTTCAGTTTGGAAAACATATAACCCTTCGCGCCGACTGTCACGTTTACGTGCCAGCAACGAACACACTCACTTCCCGGCTGAAACGCAGGCGTGCCAGAGCATTTTCCCGTTCAGCCCGGACTGTCACGTATTTGTGCCAGTGTCCTGGAACGTTTTAAAAAGTATAATTTATGCCACAAGATGACACTGTATGTCCATATGGTTTCAGATACATGTACATTAGACCTATCTTGTTCATTTGCGGTTTTGCAGCTGAAGATGATGGTTCGGTAAAACCATCGAAACTAATCCTGTGAAAATTTTGTAGGTATAACGCTGATTTTTGTTGTTTGACTTCTGAATTAGTATTTATTCGGCGTGTTATTTTGTCTTAATTAGACCTTCTACTCGAAATGAGGGAAGCATGACTCACATACATGTGTTTTTGATTATATAAACACAAGGAGAAATAAATGTTTCCGAATGGCGTGATTTATGACGTCTCTTTAAATTCGCACGTGGTAGTTGTTTACTGTAAGTAGAGAAGTTTTTTTTTCGCTAAAGCATTGGGTATTTCGGTTTAAATTAGATCTTGTTAGACGTGAATTCTTTCTGTTTTTAATAGAAACAGACCGAATAAATATTTTTTAATAGAAAATTTGTTAGACGTGAATTCTTTCTGTTTTAGAAAATAATTAGATCTTGTTAGACATGAATTCTTTCTGTTTTTACCATTGCAATCACACCAAGATCAGCAGAATCATTAAATCCGCTCAGATTAACTGAAAGACATTTTCCAAAACTTTGTTCAGAAGAGACTGATAAGAAAATGAGACAATGATGCTTCGTTTGTTCACATTCCCAGAAAAATCCTCCAAAACGGCAAATGAGTTATTACGAGTGCAAGGAATGTAACGTAGGACTGTATGTAGATCCCTGCTTTCAAATTTTTCATACGAAAAGAGAATTTTAAGTAATATATTTAGTTTTCAGATGTATAATGTTAAAAGTCATAAAATGGTGAGTAATGAAAATAAAATGTGTAAAATATGCATTTAAACAAGAAATAAGGTAATTAAAGTATATATAAAAATATCTATAAAGCATAAGCTGTTTAAATACTCTATAGAGCATCATTAAACAATGCATTGATACTTCGGAAATTTCATGGATTTAGGCTTAATAGCAAAAACGCCCCCAGCCCCAGACAGACGCTCGCGTAAGACACTGCCGGCCTCCGCAATAAGCGCGCGTTTGCACTACCCGGCGCGAAGGGGATAACAATCATATGGACCTAATTATAGGCAATAAGAGAGGGGGAGTCCAATTCCTTAATCCCACATTTTTTACTGCTTCTTCTGCAATGCCAGAAGTATAATCATGGAAAGGATGAATTCTGTCGTTCTGCATTCCATGCCTTTTCTTTTTAATTTCACTGCAAAATTATGAAAAAAAACTTCCATAACTTACCCCAATAATGACTCTAAAGTATTTTTTTTAATATTTTGAAAGTTATAAAAAATTAATGGCCATTATATATTTTGTTGATTGCTGCACCTTTGTGCTTCACCTAATTTTCTTTATTCCCTTGACTCCTTCTTCAATAGAAGATCATAGTGCAGGATTACTGTTTCACCACCAGTTATGATCAGCTATAGAACATCTCGCTGATTTGCGCAGTAGAGCAGTGTTTCTCAACCTTTTTTTTCTGGCCAAAGGACAAGTAATTTGTGAAAAAATTTAGCAGACTGTTGGTTTTATTAAATTTTTTCCACTAGTAAATGGTTTTTTGGTTTTATCAGCCCAAAGTGCAACTAGTTATAACCATTTTAGTAGTGACTTATTCTGAACAAAGCTTTATTTAACCCTTTTGGCTATATTTGACGTATCAGTACGTCATACATTTACTAGGGAAAAGATGCACACGACATTCTAGCACGCCATTCGGATCATTTGTTGCATTTGTTCAGGCAAAGACGCACATGACATTCTGACATGTTAACGCCATATTAGGAAAGATACTACCTGGCAGTGCAAAGAATGCAAAGTACCACTGCATTTACCAACCTGTTTTGAAAAGTATCACACGCTTCAAAATTATTAAAAATTTATTATTTATTATAACCAGAGTTGGTTTAAAAGTATTTTGTAATACTAACTGCTTAAAGTTATTTCAGTATTATGTAAAAGTATATATAATGGATAATACAAAAAAAATTAATTCTTGAATAAAATCTACTGTTTTTACTTGCCCACAAAATTAAATATGCTCCAAGTGCAAAAACATTTTAAATAAATGTGTACCCAAAGAGTTAAATGCTTTTGTTTGTAATATTAATTGTTGTTTTTTATACTCATAATACAAACATGGTTTATTTTCCAGCTCGCAATGCTGATCAGAATTCAAAGGTTTACTGTTAAGTTTCATATTCCTGTTACTGTTAAGAGTTAGTCACTGCCGACTTGCATTCCCACACATTCCATGTCTTTAGGACATCATGCTTAATCGGCTCAAACAAAAATTCATTTCAAGCAAATTGGAACATTGATGTTTACTCTGAAATACACTGTACTCTTGTAAGAAATTAATAGCATCACCTTCATTGTTTAATAGGTCCAGTGATCCAAAACTGAACTGAAAACTCTGGAAAAAACTTAGTTCTTAAAACTGGTGATTATATACGCTCTTAAAACCTAATGATGTTGTAGAGTTACAATAGCAATTAATTTGCATTATGGTGCAAATGCTGCCTAATGTTCACTTTTTTGGCAAATTTTGGCTTTTTTTCTCCGTTAATAAGTAAGGACCAAAATTAATTATCAAATAAAAATATGACACTTTTCATTAATTAGATACAATCGTTTCACTTGAAAGACTAAAATTTAAAGCATATTTCAAACACTGCATAAATGGTATTAATAAGAAATAGTTATTTCAATGAGCTACTTTACCTTTTCTGTCATTTTTCTTTTTGCCTTGAAAAATTTTCGCTGAATAAATATTTTCTTATTTCCAACAGCAGGAGGATTCGGAACAAAATTTTGAGTAAATTCCTGATTTCTAAAAGAAAGAAAGAAAAAAAAAATCAAACTAAATAGATGTTTGCTTCTATAAACAGAAACTTCAAATGTAAAAGAAAACACCTCCACAAATATATCTTATGCAGCTTTCCAGATTTTTTTTCCAGTGTCATAAAGTGATAAATGTGTACACTAAACTTCTGAAATAATCTCAGCTTAATTTAATAAAATTTCACTGTCTTGATAAAACTGTTTAATAAAACTAAAACACCAAAATGCATTTCAAACACAATCAAAATGCTTCTATGGAAAATATTATCAGTAAACAATAGTAATGTACATAATTTCAAAACTATGTGAAGTATAGACATTTGATTATCTGTACCCCTAGTTTTAACATTCAGTAGAGCTGCCCTTGATTTTGGTGCACTTTCAAGTAAATATGCTACAAATGCCAACCCATCAATGCATGTCCCACATGTTTAGCATACATATGGATAAAAGCATTTAATATTTAATCATTCCACTGGCTGTAAAAATGCCAATTTCAGCCATACATAATTTTGTTGCCTAGCATAAATTTATTATTATAAAATGCTTCTTTTTATTTATCATTCATGACAGAATAACACCTAGCCAAATAAACATTTTTTTCAATTCACTGTGCAGATAATAAGAAATTATTTTAAATATGCATATTTTAAAAATGACTTTAATACACAAAGTACCATAATTTTTCTATACACACTTGAAATTTTAAATTGGGGGGAAAAAAGAACACATACAGAAATGGTGATATTCCTTGTTAAAACTAAAGAATTGTGAAGTGCATGGTTTAATGAAGTTGATATGCCCTGAAAATTTGAAGACTTCTATAGAGTGGATGCACTAATACATAAGTACCCATACTTCCACTATTTTCTAAATCATATCTGAAAAACAGCAATTCATCAGAAAATTTATTTTTAATAATAAAGACATATTTTAATAATCAGAGAATGTGTAAAGGATTTTTTTTTTTTAACTTACTTCATGTTTTGAATTAAAATATACAAAAGAACAGCATTTTTATGTACAGAGTATGTCCAGAAATACAGTTCTTCTCACTTTAAACTAGCACATACTGTATTTACTCAAATATAAAATCTCCCTTTTCTTTGTTACATTTTTGTTCTAAAATCTGGTAGGGTCTTCGTAAATATTTTCATACATGAAATAATAGAATGAAAGGCGGGAGTTGAAACACCACACTACATTGAAAAATTATGTTTCTTAAATAGTAAATAAGCCACACAGGTAATTACTATATATGTAAAGTGTATAAATACTTCTAAGTAAAACATGTCTTGTTTAGGAATTTTAGTTTATGCCTGCATCCATGATCCTGGTTACTAAAAATAATAATATATAGCATGCTTGAAAACAAAATAGACATCTCCCCCCCCCTTTTTTTTTTCTAAAATAATAATGCACTAACTTTTCTTAATTCAACATTCAATATCATAATAAAATACTATGTTTAATTAGGCAAGTTACTTTTCTTTCCAATGAGGATCATTGTTGCTCTCATCAAATATTCACCTAAGCTTTTAAATTTTAAAATATGTTCTAAAGTGCAAGGGGGCTCTTATTGACAGGGGGAGGGGTTCTTACTGTCGAGTAAATACCCATGTTTACATAATTAAGAATTAAATATGGTATATGTGTCAATATAATTAAATTATTAGCCATGATGAACTTAGTTCCACAAATTACAAATATTATTGAAACTCTAAAACAACTAACCTCATTTTGGCAAAGTATTATTCAATTATTTTTACCCAATACTTTGACAACTTGAATAAAACTAAAGATCCCAGATTTGAAGAATTTAAATCTTTTAAAAGAGTGAAAGATGTGTAAATGGAATGTTTTGATTCATGATAAATATTAAAATGTGATAATAATTTCTTGCTGTTAGTCACATTTCATTAGAGCTCCATATGTAGGAAGATGTCACTGGCATAGTTTCGGTATAATTGACAGCTGATAAAATTTAAATTATATACATTCTTGATTAAAACACTTTTATTTATACCAAAATGGTAACTTTCCTCTTCTGAAGCTCTCTACAGTAAAAGTAAAATTAATAGATTATCCAACACACAGATAAAAAAAATTGCAAGCTGTAAACGTTGAATAAAAACACCTCCCATATAAATTTATTGCAGATGTCTGTCTAGATGGCACATTTATAACAAGAAACTTACTTTTGGAAGCGTCCTGTATTTGTTCCACTATTGACATCATAAGAATTGTTATAATTTGATGATGTGAATTGTGGAGTCGGATCATGTAAATAACCAACATTGTCTATGTTTGCACGCTGTGCAGGAGGTCTTTCAGGCGAACGATAAAATGATTCATTGCAAGAATAATAATTTGCACTTGAGTTTTGAGAACGAAATGAATTATTATAAGAAGTGCTGTTCTCTGATGAAAATGAAGCATCCAAAGAGATCTGTAGAATTTCCATAGTTGTTTATCATACTATCAGCTAATGAATCTAGATTTGGTTTACTGGCAGAAGATCGTGGGCGAGGGTAAGATGTTGGACCACTATAAGCGAATCTAGGCCGATGAGTTCTTGGAGCAGAAGGTGGTGTTGAAGTATAAGGTGGTGAAAAGTTTGATGCAGGAAAGCCCGATGCAGATGGATAGCTATAGTTCATGTTGTTCATGGCCATCTCAGACCTATATAAAAGAATATATTTTTAATTTTCAGGGCTCAACAAATTCAAAATCATTTCTGAAATTTAAATTATTTAACCAATTGTTGTTTAATGTAAAAGTTTCTCAGTAACATAAACATAGCACATATATTAATTACTTTAAATCGAACTTTCAATTTGTTGAGCCCTGTTTGCACAGCAAAGCCCCATTTCAAGATTTGACCAAAATACAATCCTTACAGAAAGCATCTCAACTACTTTTTCTTCTCAGAAATGACTTTTATTTTCAATCTCTTCCTTTTGCAACTGCTTGATAATATTCTTTCATATGCAGCTTAGTAACAACTAAAACTTAGGTATGCTACTCCGGTCAAATCTTGAATCAATTAAAGCCTTGCTAATATGGGCCTTAAAAAATATGTATTACATCAATTCTTAACTGAATCTATTCTAATCAATTAACAATTTATCAATTCTAATCAATTAACTGAAAAGAATTACTGGAACTTTACTGTTAACATCATCAGACATAATTTTATCCTTAAATATTGCAAACATTTCCAAATACAGTAATGATCATTAAAATTCCTAAGAGGCAATTCAGGAAGAGGGGACCCAATCACCAAATCGAAGTGGTGATAGATCATTGTACAACACAATTTAGTTCAAGTGCTATTTGTAGAGCCATTTACATTTTTTCAGAGTCTAAAAGCCTAAGAAACCTAAAATGCCACCAGGATTCAAACTCTAGGCCTCACAACTACTAGCCTGACATGCTTCCAATTTTCATCATGGAGGAATGTAGTTTAGGAATAAGAAAAAGAAAATTCATTAGAACACAGTTTCTTAAACTGTAGTTTAAGTTTCTTAAACTGTGTTAAAAACTAACACAGTTTCTTAAACTGTGGTTACTATCCCCCATGGGGATAGTAAGACCTGCAGCAGGGGGGGTCGCCAAAAATTTTAGCAGTTTTGATATTCTTTAACTTATGATAATTTTACAATTACCAAATATTTTAACACAATGTATCTGAAAATAGATAAACATAAGACAATGCAGACTAAGAAAAAAATGAAAACGCTTCGACGCATTGCAAACATTGCAATATAAACATTGCAATAGTATATTACAGCACAAGTGAAAAAATTGACAGACTCGCACATGTGTCGGATTCGTGCAATGCTTATGGAGGTCTCACAAAATTTTCTTACATATTATGGGGTCCTGGGTTGCGACTGAAATTTTAAGAAGCCCTGCACCAAAACTAAAGTTTTTAATGAGTAAGATTTCAAACTAAAATAAACTGAAAAAAACTGGCCAGTATGAAGTTAGCATACAACTAATGAATTAATATTGTTACAATCAGTCTTTTTAACCTTTTGAAGAATCATCACTGCAAATTATATTTCAGATTAGTAAAACAAAACTAATTAAAATTATAACAGTATAACAGATATGAACTGAAAAATAAACTTGCTTGCGTGATTTTGTTGTCGTCTCTAATAAAAGCAAATAAAAATAATTCTGAAAATATAAAATAGCAGAGCAGGAAACAATCTTAGAGCATGAATTAAGTGCCTTAAAGTCAAAATATCCAAGGTCCTTTTTATAAACTACTACAAATTTATTTCATATAACAAAAATAAAATATCAATGTAAAAAGACAAAATAGAGAAACCGTTCATAACAGCACTTATAACAATAATGAAAAAATTTTAAAAAAGCTCCAGTATGTGTCAATTTAATGTTTGAATTTACTGTATCTAATAACATTTCAGAAATTAAATATATAGTTGACAAACTGCAAATATGCACTAAGCAAAAAATACTCTACTACGCAGTGAAATTACATCAACCAGGTCCTATGTTAGCTTAATATTGCAATCAAAATTATATGTGTAAATATAAAAGAAATTAGATTCAAAGCTTGTATACTGTTTTCATGGAAAATATTACTTTTATTATAATGAAATTCCATACACTTTAATTTACATTTATATTAAATGTGTGCAATTTACAAATTCAGCTTTTTCAGAAGCTTGTTTACTTCAATAACTCACATTAAAATTCTGCTATTATTTCCTCTTTTTATTTTGATATTTGCACTATATGTGCCAATCAACACTTCATGATAATCTTTATGGTCCAATCATCTTTTGAAATGTGACATTATAAAGAAGTAACATATACTGATCTGCCATCTTTTGAAAATAATGTGAAAATGTCAGCAGCCTTATCTCTTACAACTACAAAGTGTAAAGAAATATATACTGCAAATACATAATTTAGCTAACAATATCATTTACTTTATTTAATGCTAATAAACTCTTATTGTATATATCATAAATATTTCATCAGCTAAACTTTTATCTACTTTTGCATATTATACCTTTATATACAGCTGTCAGCACTATCCAAAGCTATTATAAAACACATTATTCATGTATATGCTTCAATACGGAATGGATAAAAAATTACCATAACTGATTTTAAAGAGCTAAAAATAACAAGAGCACAAATACACATTCAATCTGTGAACAACAACATTATAACAGATTAAAAATATAATAATGAAAATTATTGTATTACACCTTTTCCTAATGCACTGCTACAAAGTATTATCCTCAGAAGCGTAAGATGTTACAAGAAGCATGTATTTGAAGTACTATGTATTTCTTTACTTGCAAGAGGTAAGGCTGCTGACATTTTCATATTATTTTCAAAAGATGGCAGATGAGAAGTCACACATGCAACAATACTGTTAACAAACCAAAACAAAAAGTTGATAAAGCACGAAGTACCCAAACTAATTGCCAATACTGCCTATTTAGATATTAAAAAAAATTCAGATAACTAGATTAACTTTTTCCTCCTGTACACTGAATATATATATACAAGGTGAACCCATAAAGTAACCAGAAAAATTAAAAGACCAAACAACAAAATAAATGAGTCAAAGAATAAATGCATGTTTAGAAAGCAAAACCTCTCTTGTTAAGGATGATTTAAACTGGTTGTTCTGTGGTTTGCATATCAAAACATTGGAGTCGTTTTTATTTGCTAAGATGACACTGTACAACAAAAAAAAAAAAAAAAAAAAAAAAAATGCTTCAAAGTGTAATAATGTTATAATATTAAATTTTGTCACAAATAATATAAATGTGCTACCGAACCATTAGAGATGATCTGAACAGTTATGATGATGCATCTTTATCAAGAATGCTTTAAAAGTGGATGCAAAAGCACTGAAGATAAAGCACATTTCAACTTCAAAGAATAAGGAAAATGTGAAGAAAATGTGTTCTTTAATAAAACCTGATACACGTGTAACAAACTGGCAATTTTCAGTAATGCTTGGGATACGCAGGTTAATTTTAATTGAAAATCTAAAAATGAGGAAAGTTTGTACTCAATTTATGCCTTGGATTTTGACACGTCAGCAAAAAGAAGACAAAAGCTTGCTGCGAAGATTTGCTGACTACTGCCAGACAGGCAACAACAATTATCATAGTAGGAAATAAGACTTAGCGAATGCAATACGGCCCAGAAAGAAAAAGGCAAAGTGCACAATGGAAAGGACCCTCATCTCCCACACACAAACATTTAAAAAAAGTCATGAATTTCAAGTCATTCTGATTGCAATTTTTCATTACAAAGGACTTATTCACTATGAATTTATCTCTAAAAATAAATTAACTAGTATTTTACAAGGAGGTGCTTTTCCAATTGAGAAACAGGATAACAGAAAATAGCTTTTGGGAAGACTCAGATAACCGGCACTTGGTGCAATTTTTTCTGCCATCTTGAATTGGCGAAAATCACCAAATCCTCGGAAGGATTTTTTTGATGCCAATTTACATATACAAAGAAAATATCCCTTCCCTTTTCTCTTTCGCTCTAGCGTAGTGAAGATCTAAGCGGGCAACCTAAACTGTCCTCCCACTGTATGTAGCATATCGCCCAAGTTGCCGAAAGTGATTTCAGGAAGTTCGCCAAGTATCTGAGTTATCTGAGTATCCCCTTTCGATTCCAGACAATGGTTTCTTTTACACAAAAATGCTAGCCCCCCCCATACAGCACTGTCTATACAATATCTTGTTAAGCATTCAATTGTTATGATAAGTCACCCATCACACATAATAACTTGTCACCAGCCTTTTTCTTAATTAAGTCAAATATTATGTGTATTGGTAAAGTTAATTCCATCAGCTGTAAATAATATATTGACAACCTGAAGAAATGCTAAAAAAATTATATAGACTCCTCTAGCGAGTATTTTGAAGGAGATATATTTATTTGAAGGTTAATAATCTTTTTTTTTTTTTTTTTCCCCAGTTATAAGAAACCGATTGTTTACTTTATGAGCACACCTTGAAATTTCATGTTTTTATTCACTGCAATACATTTCAAAGATCACTCTACCAAAAAAATGGGGAGGAATTAAATTGTAATCCGAAAATTTCAAACTATTGTGAAGAAGTTGTAGAGCTATGAAGTTCTTCAAAGGAGGTAGAAAAAATCAGCAACGTCCTCACCAGGATTCGAACTTTGGTCCTCCTGACTGTTAGCCATACAATCTTCCACTTATATTACAAAGGCATGTGGTAAAGACGAAGAAAGTAGCTTACAAAGTTTACCCATAAAATTTCAAAAAGTTAATAAAATATTTTAAACATTAGGAGGAAAAAAAAACCATTCAGATGTTTAAACAGTTTTAAGTTAAACTGTTTCAATTAACTTTGTTTCTTTAAAAATCAATTATCCAAGAATTTAAGAGGTTTGGTTTACTAGATTGCAGCAAAGCACTCGAGGGCTATCTGCCTTAAGGGAGGGATGCCTTCGTGGAGGACTTTTGAAGGGAAACTGGCTCGTATACACGTTACACATGGGAAAACCACAAAAACACCCATCAAGCCAGCTCGTTTGCGGGATTCGAACCTCGGACCGAACTACCTAGTGTTCAGCGAACGACGTTACCGCTCAGCCACTAGTGGGCTAAGAATTTAAGAGATAGCTAAATT